GAAAAGGAATAATGGAGCGTGAAATAAATCTGGTAATGTTCGATTTATTTATAATACAAATATCAAGTTTTAGTTTAACCACAAAATGACAAAATAAAATTGGGCCTATGATATAGAATCTGAAAATATAAATTAATGAAGAGTTATACGACTATTGTTTCAATCAAATATTTCGCATTATATATCATTATTTTGTTAAAAAATATTTTTTTTATGGGTTCATTGATCGATATGCTAAAAGGACGTGCCGCAGCAGTTTTCGGTGAGGACTTCCGAATTAAGTATTAGTAACGCCCTTTGGTAAGACGAAACACAATGACTTTGATGCTGCTGTACATACATAAAAGAAAAATGGAAATAACATAATGGATTAGCATGGAAATCATTTATAACGCTTAATCCGGCATTACCAATTTTGTTTAAAAATGAAAAGTTTTTTTCATAAACATAAGATCTTAAGCACACTAAAACAAATAAGAAACGTATTTAAACGTATTGAAGTTAACTTTGTTAAATTGTGATAAAAATATAAAATATTGTATCAATAATGAAGCTGATTAGTGGAAGGATATGTTCCTACCTTCATGATTTTGTAATAAAAGGTTCTTTTATCATCAAAAAACTTAATAAAAGAACTTTTCAGATAAATATTATTTTCCTTCATTTTCTTTTTATTTATTTTTAAGTTTGCATAAAAAATATTTAAAAATGCAATCTTAGTATGTAATGCTTCTTAATCATAAAACTAAATAAATAAACAAAAATTTTTACCTAGGACAAAGAATTGGTATTCAGTTTTACTCTTTTATTATATAAAAAATAGATTTTGTCATCTGCGTGATTGCGTCATCTACAACCTTAAAACTGGTTTTTTGTATTTCTTGTATAACATGCTTGTAAAGAATATTAAATTTGGCTGAAATTATGTTAATTCCAGTCAAAATTAAAGTTGCGTCAAATCTAAATTTTTTTTTAAAAATCATTAACTTCGCTATATTTATTTTTATAGAATTCAATAATGAATTAAACCCACCCATATGTATGGATAAAATATGCCATTTTATATATAATTTATAGATAATGTGTTTTTATAGGGAAATAGAAAGAGCAAAAATTGCAAGATTCAAAAGTATAAGCTTGAAATCTTACAAATGGCATCAAATGAGAAATTTAAATGGCAATATGAGTTTTAATTTTTTTAAAATATATGTCACTTAATATAAAGCACAAAAAAAAGAAGACGCATGTTAGGGAGGGGCAGATATTTTGATGCGGAAATTTACAAAATATTTTACGTATGCTTGAAAGCACGTGATATTACGTAATCGATTTCGACCAATCATAGATTGTAATTGTATCAGTAGCCGTGGGTAGATTTCAATTTAAAGTTATAAAGAAACTTTTTTTTTAAAAAAATGATACTCATTTAATCCACTAAAAATGTTGATGTTGCTGTTACTTTGGTCATGATTCATATTGACGATTTAATATAAGTTCGATAAAATTAAATTAACAACTCATCAGTTGACATGTCTGACAATCTTTTGATAAAATATTATTTTTAATATTCTTATTTTTATACTGTATCTTAAATCATATAAATTATAAATTTCGTATTAAAAAATAAAATACTACTTGGTTTTCTTAATACGCAGTAACTGCAAAGTTACCTTACTTAGTAGTAGTTTAATCGCAGCCTAATAGGTACTATGCAAATACTGCATAGTAAGGAACAAAGTTTCTGTAAAGAAACGATAAATAGGTTGGAAATTTAACAACTAAAATGAAATTTTTTTTTTTGAAATCACCAATAAAGATTTTAAACGTATTTAGAAAGTTACGTAACTTTCAATTTCTTTTAAATAAAGATCTTTTTGGGCGAGGTCCATGATTATTTGGTTGGGAAAGCGTATAATTGTCGGGTTCTGTTATATAAACTTTCATTTTTGCCTTGGAACTATATAACAAAATATGATTGATTAATCGAATAATCTCAATAAACAACGAATTTCAGCATTTACTTACACACTGGACATGGTAGCGTGAACTCTGAATCTGTTACCAATTTTCACATTACATTCCGGCCAACTAATAAGTTGGTCGGTAAACTGTCCGTGTCTTTTAAATGTTGCTTTGCAAAATTCAGCTTTTTGTTGTTTGTTTCCTTGGAGTGGTGGCTCGTCAGATTCGTAAACTCTGATACAGAATTGACTGGCAGCCATTCTCTTCACCTGAAATTAAACATCAATTGTTATTTTATTAAACTTTTAGAGACATAAGGAAAGGTACCTTCCAACCTATTAATAGGTAAAAAGGTTTATTATTAGGTCCCACCGAACCTTCAACTTGGTAGCAAAGCATCCCCATTGTTCCAAGTTTTTTAAATATGTCATTAAACTTTCTATCAAATTAAAGCAACATAATATAAATAAATCAAATCAATAATGAATTTGAAATGTCAAATCTCGGTCAACTTATGCAGGAGAAAATTTATTGGAGGGCGTAACAGTAGGTTCGGGAGGGCAGATACAATATCCGTTATAATAAAACCCTTTTTCTAGTTGGAGTGTATGTGAAGTAGTTTGGTTTAGGATTGATATCGAAATGGATGTTTTAACGGTTATCAATTCCTTAAACAACACTAGAACAGTAGAGGCAACTCCATTTGCTAATATCGCTTCACTAATTGCGATTATTTAGAAAAAACGGATTTTACTAGAATGTTGCTAAAATAAGGTTTTGATGCAGTACACAATAAAACCGGATTATCAAGAAAAATTGTTGGCGAAGAATACGGTAAACAATTAACTCTGGTGAATTAATAACAGATGATGAGAAGGGATAAGGGAGCGTGGGTAATGTTCGATTATTTATGATACAAATATCAAGTTTTAGTTTAATCACAATAGGACAAAATAAAATTGGGCTCTATGATATAGAATCTGAAAATATAAATTAAAATGAAGATTTTTATAGGCTTTTGTTTCAATCAAATGTTTCGCATTATATATCATTGATCGACATGTTAAAAGGACGCGCCGCAGCAGTTTTCGGTGAAGACTTCCGAATTAAGTATTGAGTAATGCCCTTTTTAGGTAATACGAAACATAATGACTTTGAATTGTACATTCATAAAAGAAAAATGGAAATGACATAATGGATTAGCATAGAAAATAATGCTTAATCCAGCATTACCAATTTTGTTTATAAATGAAAAGTTTTTTAACAAATAAAAATGTATTGAAATTAACTTTGTAAAATTTTGACAAAAATATAAAATATTGTATCATCTTAGTAATTGATCCAGATAATACGGATTACCAATTCAGATTAGCTGGTATAATTAATTGAGTTATAGTTAGGCTTACAGTTAGGTGTTTTATCACTGGGTGACACTGGTTATTTTTCAAAAAATTTGGAAATTTTTTTTTTCCGAGGTGATGTTTATTTGTCACGTCAAAAGTACGTGACAAATAAACAGAACTTGTAAACTAAATAGTAACCCCCCAGAAATGACGAAAATTGTTATATAAAATAAAGATTTGGTAAGGGCAGTGACATTTATTACGTAATATCAGTTTAATATAGATGCCGACCCCCCACCCCCAGGTAAGATATATATATTGGGTCACGTGAGTCATATTATATAAATTTTTAAATTAATCAATAACGAAACAAGAACATTTTATTATATTTTCTCAAGGTTTGAAAGAAGTGACTTATTATTACACGCCCTTTTTACGTGTCCTTTTTTAGTATATATTAACTGCAGGAGGTTCTCTTTTTTAATATAAATTAGCTGCAGAGGCTGCAAGTGAGCTTGCTCTTTTAATATATATTAACTGCGGGAGGCTTGCTCTTTTAATATATATTAACTGCAAGAGGGCTATATTTTATACTTTTAATATATTTATTTATATATTTAGCTCGAGGTTTTTAAAATATATAAATATAATAACGATAAAGCAAAAAATTAAAAAAATTAAAAACGTGTTCATTTTTTTTTCAAATATTAAATAATGAGTCATCAAACTTACTTTCTTGGCCCAAAATTTAATAAAAATTGATTTATAAATCCCAGTTAATAAATATCAGGAATTTATTAATGCATATGTATATAATATTATAGTCAAAATGGGAAATAGTACTTCAAATTGCGTTATTATTTATCAAGATGCAGCAAAAGAATGGAAGGACATTAAAAATAAAAGTAGTTTAGAAATTGACAATATAATTAAAAACTACATGATCACCCCAATTAGTCCATATAATATACCTATTGTGAAAACAACTTATCCTATGCCTTTTATGCCTATAATAAAACTAACTTCTCCTCTTCCTATCATTGATCTAGTTGAATTACACTAGAAATTTTATTAATATATCAGCTCAAAAGAGAGTAGCAGACAAAATTAAATTAGCTAATATGAAACTTGCTGAATTAGAACAAATGTATAATATTACAACTGACAATCAAATTCGAAATGACCTATATATGAAAATAGAAGAACTCAAACTGAAATTAATTCTAGTAAAAATAAAATTAGCAAATTAAAAAGAAATGCAGTATATACTTAAAATTATAGAGAAAAAAAGCGTAAATTACTTACTGAAAATCAAGAGGTAATTTAATATAATAAACCTGGCCGCCCACCTCTACTTTTTGAATATCTAAACTTACATAATTAAATTTATAACTCAGTTGAGTTTGGATTAGCTGATGCAAAAAAATAAAAAGAAGTGGTTAAAGTACGAATTATTGAAAACTTATATAAGAATCTCAAGGAGAGATATAATGTTTATGATACAAACAATATTAAATAATTATCTTTTACTTTGCTAATCTAATTTCATTGCTGCAAAAGTACACCATCATTCAGCGTGAATTGCAGTAGCTGAAGTTTTACAGTAGCGGTCATAAGTATCCGACCGCCTCTAACTCTGGCTACAAGTAAGTAAATTCAAAATTTTTTTTTTATT